TTTCACTTGATTAAACACCTTTATGCTACATTGAGAGGAGGGTTAAGTTAAGTTAGGTTAGATTAGGTTAGGTTAGGTTAGAGTTTGGCGGTGAACCGAGCATATAGTTAATTACCTGAGTCATTTAATTAAATTTGATTAAGTTAGAAAATTAACTTGTGGACGTAAACACAACAAGTTATGATTATATAAGAAGTTACTGAATAACTTCTCATCTGAGTTATACACACACTGTACTGTATAAAAAAAATAAATAAATAAATAAAACCTTTATAATGTACTACAGTTTATTAAAGTTGTCTGACGTTAGGTTAGGTGAGGTTCTTGATAGTTTATGGCCAGCATAGTGTTACATAGTGTCGCATAGTGTAGCATAGTGTAATATGGTTTGGCATAGTGTAACATAGTGTAGTATAGTGTAACATAGTGTAACATAGTGTAGTATAGTGTAACATAGTGTAACATAGTGTAATATGGTTTGGCATTGTGTAACATTGTGTAGTATAGTGTAACATAGCGTAACATAGTGTAGTATAGTGTAACATAGTGTAACATAGTGTAGTATAGTGTAACATAGTGTAGTATAGTGTAACATAGTGTAACATAGTGTAGTATAGTGTAACATAGTGTAGTATAGTGTAGTATAGTGTAACATAGTGTAACATATAGATATAATCTACACCACAGACCAGATGAGTTGCGTTCTGTTACTATCGGTGTTTTTGGTCTGTTTAATCCGAGTCTGTTGTCATTACCCTGTGGTCTTAGTTCATAGTCTGTGGTAGTTAATCACACAACCAACCACAGTTCAGCTCTCGTCACACAAAGTTCGTAGTTTAGTCCTCGTCATAAATATACAAACACAGGCCGTAGTTCAGCTCTCGTCACATAGCCAACCACGGGCCGTAGTTCCACCCTCGTCATAAACTATAACTATGTCAGGTTGTTAGTTCCTTGGCGACACACACCATTGTAATCACCGCTACTTCACTCCATATATTCTGGTCAGCGGAACTACGTGTCAACTGGCCTGATGTACGGCTGGCCGGCCGGGTCTCTGGTCACGCCCACTCCTGACGTCATACATATATTAACCAATCCGTTTACAAGGTTGAAATTAGATTACTGTTGAGTATTTTTTATTATTTCTCTCAGGTTGGTATTGTTAAAGTCTTGCCCCGCCCAATTCTGACGTCACACCAGCCCCTAGCCAATCAGTTTACGAGGAGTGAATTAGATTATATCTTTCGGTTTTCTATTGTGATGGTCTGGCCACACCCACTCTTGACGTCATAACTTCACTAGCCAATCAGCTCGTGAGGTTAAAATAAAATTATCTTTTACATGTTTCTTTTAGATACTGTTGAGATGGCCTGACCAGGACCCCTTCTGACGTCCCTCCACAAGTAACCAATCAACTCCTTTGATCTGTTTTTTTCTGTAGCCACTATTGTGATAGATTGGCCACGCCCCCTGGTGACGTCATAATTACTCTAATCAATCACTTCAGGAAATTAAAATCAGATAATCTCTTTTTTTTTCTGGTGAAAGTCTGGCCACGCCTACTGCTGACATCACACTTATCCCAGCCAATCACCTCATGAAGTTGGAATCAGATTATGTTACAATTTTGTGAGGTGACCAGTGTGAGCGTTACTGTGTGAGTGTTACTGTGTGAGCGTTACTGTGTGAGCGTTACTGTGTGAGCGTTACTGTGTGAGTGTTACTGTGTGAGTGTTACTGTGTGAGTGTTACTGTGTGAGTGTTACTGTGTGAGCGTTACTGTGTGAGCGTTACTGTGTGAGTGTTACTGTGTGAGTGTTACTGTGTGAGTGTTACTGTGTGAGTGTTACTGTGTGAGCGTTACTGTGTGAGTGTTACTGTGTGAGTGTTACTGTGTGAGTGTTACTGTGTGAGTGTTACTGTGTGAGTGTTACTGTGTGAGTGTTACTGTGTGAGTGTTACTGTGTGAGTGTTACTGTGTGAGTGTTACTGTGTGAGTGTTACTGTGTGAGTGTTACTGTGTGAGTGTTACTGTGTGAGTGTTACTGTGTGAGTGTTACTGTGTGAGTGTTACTGTGTGAGTGTTACTGTGTGAGTGTTACTGTGTGAGTGTTACTGTGTGAGTGTTACTGTGTGAGTGTTACTGTGTGAGTGTTACTGTGTGAGTGTTACTGTGTGAGTGTTACTGTGTGAGTGTTACTGTGTGAGTGTTACTGTGTGAGTGTTACTGTGTGAGTGTTACTGTGTGAGTGTTACTGTGTGAGTGTTACTGTGTGAGTGTTACTGTGTGAGTGTTACTGTGTGAGTGTTACTGTGTGAGTGTTACTGTGTGAGCGTTACTGTGTGAGTGTTACTGTGTGAGTGTTACCGTGTGAGTGTTACTGTGTGAGTGTTACTGTGTGAGTGTTACTGTGTGAGTGTTACTGTGTGAGTGTTACTGTGTGAGTGTTACTGTGTGAGTGTTACTGTGTGAGCGTTACTGTGTGAGTGTTACTGTGTGAGTGTTACTGTGTGAGTGTTGTGTGAGGTGTTACTGTGAGTGTTACTGTGTGAGTGTTACTGTGTGAGTGTTACTGTGTGAGCGTTACTGTGTGAGTGTTACTGTGTGAGTGTTACTGTGTGAGTGTTACTGTGTGAGTGTTACTGTGTGAGTGTTACTGTGTGAGTGTTACTGTGTGAGTGTTACTGTGAGTGTTACTGTGTGGAGTGTTACTGTGTGAGTGTTACTGTGTGAGTGTTACTGAGTATGTTACTGTGTGAGTGTTACTGTGTGAGTGTTACTGTGTGAGTGTTACTGTGTGAGTGTTACTGTGTGAGCGTTACTGTGTGAGTGTTACTGTGTGAGTGTTACTGTGTGAGTGTTACTGTGTGAGTGTTACTGTGTGAGTGTTACTGTGTGAGTGTTACTGTGTGAGTGTTACTGTGTGAGCGTTACTGTGTGAGTGTTACTGTGTGAGTGTTACTGTGTGTGGAGTGTTACTGTGTGTGGGAGTGTTACTGTGTGAGTGTTACTGTGTGAGTGTTACTGTGTGAGTGTTACTGTGTGAGTGTTACTGTGTGAGTGTTACTGTGTGAGTGTTACTGTGTGAGTGTTACTGTGTGAGTGTTACTGTGTGAGTGTTACTGTGTGAGTGTTACTGTGTGAGTGTTACTGTGTGAGTGTTACTGTGTGAGTGTTACTGTGTGAGTGTTACTGTGTGAGTGTTACTGTGTGAGTGTTACTGTGTGAGTGTTACTGTGCAGTGTTACTGTGTGAGTGTTACTGTGTGAGTGTGTTACTGTGTGAGTGTTACTGTGTGAGTGTTACTGTGAGTGTAACTGTGAGGGTGTGGGTGTTACTGTGAGGGTGTGGGTGTTACTGTGAGGGTGTGGGTGTTACTGTGAGGTGTGGGGTGTTACTGTGAGGGTGTTACTGTGAGGGTGTTACTGTGAGGGTGTGGGTGTTACTGTGTGAGTGTTACTGTGTGAGTGTTACTGTGTGAGTGTTACTGTGTGAGTGTTACTGTGAGTGTTACTGTGTGAGTGTTACTGTGAGGTTACTGTGTGAGTGTTACTGTGTGAGTGTTACTGTGTGAGTGTTACTGTGTGAGTGTAACTGTGTGAGTGTTACTGTGTGAGTGTTACTAAAGGGAGTGTTACTGTGTGAGTGTTACTGTGTGAGTGTAACTGTGAGGGTGTGGGTGTTACTGTGAGGGTGTGGGTGTTACTGTGAGGGTGTGGGTGTTACTGTGAGGGTGTGGGTGTTACTGTGAGGGTGTTACTGTGAGGGTGTTACTGTGAGGGTGTGGGTGTTAATGTGGGTGTGGGTACACAGAGGGTGGGTGTTACTGTGAGGGGTGTGGGTGCTACTGTGAGGGTGTGGGTGCTACTGCAGGGTGGGTGTTACTGTGAGGGCGTGGGTGTTACTGTGAGGGTGGGTGTTACTGTGGAGGGTGTGGGTAAGTACTGTGAGGGTGTTACTGTGAGGGTGTTACTGTGTGGGTGTGGGTGTTACTGTGAGGGTGTTACTGTGAGGGTGTGAGTGTTACTGGCGTGGAGAAGGTGCTAGGCCGGATATCCTGAATACTAAGCAACATCCGCCAATGTTAGTCAATACTAAACCTTTCTCTCTCTCTGTCTGCCTGTCTCTTTGTCTGTCTGTCTATCTGTCTGTCTGTCTGTCTCATCGCCCGTGTTCCCTGAATATATCATATTTCCATTACTACAATCCATGATACCACCAATTGATTTGCTCTCTCTCTCTCTCTCTCTCTCTCTCTCTCTCTCTCCTATGGCATAAATTCCTCCCATTCATTATAATGTTTTTCCTCATTATTCATTACATAATTCAATTACATTTTAATCTTCTTAGGTTAAGGATAAAAAATGATAATTAATCCATGTTTTATTGTGGATGGCAGACAGACTTTAGATAGATAGATAGATAGATAGATAGATAGATAGATAGATAGATAGATAGATATTCTTCAATCAAGTTTACAATGAATTAGTATGTATATAGACAGTAAACAAACACTATACATAGAAACTGAACCATCAGCACCACGGAACATTGAACCATCAGCACCACGGAACATTGGACCATCAGTGCCACGGAACATTGGACAATTAGTAACAAGGAACACTGGACCATCAGTAGCGAGGAACACTGGACCATCAGTACCAGGGAACACTGGACCATCAGTAGCAAGGAACACTGGACCATCAGTAACAAGGAACACTGGACCATCAGTACCAGAAACACTGGACCATCAATGGCAAAGGAACACTGGACCATCGGTAACAAGACTGCTGGACCATCAATGTGGAACGCTGGACCATCAGTAGTAAGGAACGCGGACCATCAGTACCGCAGCATGGGGAACACTGAATATCAGTACCACCAACGCCAGGAACACTGGACCATCAATTGCCACCAGCGCAAGGAACGCTGGACCATCAGTGCCACCAACACCAGAACACTGGACCATCAGCCCAACGCAGAACACTGGACCATCAGTACCCACCACATAAGGAACACTGGACCATCAGTAGCGAGGAACACTGGACCATCAGTACCAGGGAACACTGGACCATCAGTAGCAAGGAACACTGGACCATCAGTAACAAGGAACACTGGACCATCAGTACCAAGAAACACTGGACCATCAGTACCACCAACATAAGGAACACTGGACCATCAGTACCACCAACATAAGGAACACTGGACCATCTGGGCCATCTTCTGGTACTGTCCCTCCTCCAGTTTGTGGAAGGAACGTATCGTCAGCTTGTCAGAGATCATCACCTGCCTCTCCCTGAGAGTCTTAAGGAAAGTCTCTCCACCAGAGGGTGTGAGGCTGGAGGCCACGAGGTCTACCTCCGTGTACAAGGAGCTGAGTCGAGCTATGACCTCAGCGGCCCACACACCGTGATCATCGTCCACGTCCTTCAAGACGATGGTGAGGTCGAGGGGCTTCTTAAAGGTTGGCAGTGTCGAGGGTGACACCGTCCACGGTATATCCAGACGAAGAGTCAAGGCTTCTAACTTTCCTGTGATGGCGGACAGCGAGTCTCTCAGGGCACGCAGCGCTGACACATCTGAGATCCTGATGCACACTTCCCCGATCTTCTTGACGGCGGCCAGGGCAGCAGCCCCTCGCTCACCCAGATGACACATGACAGCTGTCAAGTTGCCTTTTGGCAGAAGTGTTGTTATTAGGTGGTCGGTGGTGTGAGGACTTCCCCAGCAGTAGAAGTGTTGGTCTGCCCTCACCACCACCCCCATGGAGGGTCTCTGAGCGAGCAGGCTCATCAAGAGAGACAAGTTCTCATATCTTTTATTTTCTACACGACCGTTTTCTGCCAGGATGTTTACCTCTTGATCACTGCCGACAACTCTGATCACAGCTCCCGTGGGCGTGAATCTCGTGTGTTTGAGTAATTGAAAAGTTGGGTTCGTAGGATCAGTTAACTCTGCACTCTTTGGGCTCCACACGTAGTACTTGTCACCTAGAGAAACAACCATCTCACACACGTCGGGATGACGGTTAGATTCCTGTACTGTCTGCCAGAGAGATGGTAGGTCATGACAACTTGGGTGTAAGTCTATTAATGTCTCTACTACTTTATGAAACATGGGACCTGAGACGTTTTTCCTACAAAGATGACCTAAGACGAACTTAAGTGTGTTCTTCCTCTTATATCTACTCTCAGATAACAAAAGCTCTGTGTCGGGGAATATTTTCGTCTTCTGCATCATAATGTCAATTCTCTGTGGGCTAGAATGTGCCAATGACAATAACTCTTGAGTGACGTGTAAGGCAGCAAGATATTCCATTTGGCTTTTGTGTAAGAAGGAGAACTGGTAGTGTATTCCTCTCCTGGTCTCACTCACTTCACAAATGAGGAAGGCAGACAGGACCTGAATACTGTCAATGTGTTTAGCTGCACACAGGGACATTAACACATTACGTCTGTCATCACTAATAACAAACTCATTATCATCAAGCATCTCCAGCGCCTCTTTGCCCAGCGCCAGCAGCCACTCCTCCGTGAAGGTCTCCATCTGCAGGGGATGAAGACCCGTGGTTGTGTCTAGCCTCGAGATCATCTTCATGGTGCACATCCTGAATATCTCGGAATATAGACTTGTAGCAGAAGTGACGTGTGACAGCCTGGACTGGTCGTCCCTCCAGAGGCAGATGACCATGGCCAAGGTGAGGGGCAGCTTGAGGTGGTCGCCCAGGCCTCTGCCAGTAGTCTTCAACAGCCTCAGAAACTCACACTCTTGCTGGCGACGTTTCTCCTCGTCACTTACAAGAGCCGCGAACACATTTGAGGTAAACTCTGCTATTCCTTGGTCAGAAAACCCTTGAATACGGAGTTTGATGAAGGTGAGGCGGTACCTGCGTAGTGCCTGGATGACGGTACGGGTAAACTCTGGACGAGTAGTGATGATAACTCTCGCGTTACCAACAACTGACAGCACCTCGTTCACCAGTTTTTTGCCATCTGCCGTCGCCTCATCCATTCCATCTATGATATACAACACGTTCATCTGTTGCAAGATATTAATGACGTCATTTTCTTCAAAAAACTTGCAAGTTTCCCTCAACAAAGTGTTCTGTAAGTGTGACAGCAGAGAGCTGCTTGTTATATTCCTGACCTCAATATGAAGAATGACGTCGACGGACCTGAGGGCAGCGATCTTACCGGGTCTGGCTCTCCAGTCATGAAGCAAGTAGCGACACAGCGATGTTTTGCCACAACCAGCTATACCCGAGAGAAGGAGGGCGGATGGGAGTATACCCGATTCCTCTTGTGTCTCTAGACAGAGTGACTCTGTCGAGAGAAGTGATTCTATGTCAACAGTCCTTCCATCATCCTCAATATCGAGAGGAGTAAAGATTTTGCCCACCACCATGTCCGGGAACTGGTCGTCACTCAGCCACGTGAAGGGGTTGAGAGTCTTCAACTTGCAGTATTCATTCATCAACTCTGGTCTAGCATAAGTGATAAACTTGCCCACAAGTTCAACTCGAAACTTTTCAACGAAATAATAATACTTGGAGGCATCTGCCGGCAAGGGTGAAGATAAGATCTCGTCAGTTTCGTGTTGGATCATATTCTTCAGGTCAGCCACGTCAGCTGTGAAGAACTCTCCTGTTTCTCTCAGGAAATTGTCGAAAATAACTTTTAGGTCATCAAAATTTCTTCTGAGGTTGGCGTCGTCCAGCAGCTGGTGTTGGTGACACACTCTGTTCCTGACATTCTTGAGTTCTCGTAAGGCCCTCAAGAAGGACTCCGGCAAGTTCATCTCTGGCAGCAACTTGTGGATCATTTTGGTCAGGAGGGAGACATCGTAGTCAGCTGAGGCAAGCGGCTGCTCCAACACGGATCGCTCCTCCTCGTTGAAGCCATTGCGATATTTGCTCTTGGACCAGGAGAGAATATCGGCGCAGAATTCTGCTACGGTGGTTGGCCACTTGTCCACGGCCCTCACCTGGTACCTGCTGATCATCAGCAGAAACACCTCCTTCAGCAGGCGTTTACTGGTCTGTGTGGCCGCCTTGAAGAAGCGGCCAAAATTGATGTCTTGTGTGTTGTATCCTGCGTGAGGGTTGACGGAGGCAGCTGTCACCATCATCAACACCCCTGAGCCAGACAGCAGCCACCACCCTCGCCTCGCCACCTCCATCATATTAGGTTTACCCAAGAAATTCCTCACCACTCAACATTCATCACTTCACCACTCAACAGGCATCACCTCACCAGTCAACAGGCATCACCTCACCACTACTAGCGTCATAACACTTATTTAGGGGCATTGTTTTTATACACTGTCATAAGTAAATCATCTACCTCCAGGACCATTTGATAATCTTCATTACGGTAATTTATACATTTGTCAGTCACACGCGACTTAACACTTTATTTGCGTCACTTTATGTCTCTGAGAAATTCTTTATCACATCTTATCTTTTATTAAGACAAATTTGCAGTTTCTTCCCTTTCTTCAGCCACGCCAACCACAACAAAGTCACATCAACAACGACACAACTCGTGGTTACATACGTGTTATTTCCCTAAACCAAGAGACACTTAAACCACATAAATTATAAGTTTCCAAGACACTTACAAACTAATAGCCTTCACTTATATCACCGTCACTCACTATCACTTCACCAGCGTGTTTAAGAAACTCAAATACACTTACAAATTGAATTCATTATATTTTTTCACTTATTTTCACTTTTATTTATTGTGCACATATAAATCATTGTTTTCCTCTCCTCTCATAAGTGTTGTAAGTCACTTTAGCACTTTTAGCTTCACTTGTGGACATATATAAACTCTCAATATCAAACTATCAAGTGTAAGTGTGACGTCATTCTTTCAGCCATCTTGTGACGTCACTATTCCAAATATGACGTCATGAGTTGGCCCAGGTAGGAGACAGCGGTGTAAACAAAGCCACGTGTGTTGACAGTGTTGTTTCCTGAAATATGAGGCAACATTATACGTGGTTAAAGGTACATGATATATTTAAATTGAGACTGTGTGATGCTATCTGAAGTAGTGTGTAATAATAATAATAATAATAATAATAATTAACGGTTTATTGAAAAAGTTTTGCAGTCCGAAGGCTGAAAATATACATTGGACATAAATGACTTATTACATACATTGGTGGTTTAACAAAAGCCTTCATTAGAGAAAGGTAAAGGAACATACAGTGAACATACAGATTAATGTAGGATTGTACGTGTTGAACAGCAAATGCGTAGTGTAGTAACTCCCTCCCAGATGGTGTTAGGAGGGACCTCACGTGATGTAGTGGTTCCCTCAGATGGTGTTAGGAGGGACCTCACGTGATGTAGTGGTTCCCTCGCAGATGGTGTTATGAGGGACCACGTGGTGTAGTAATTCAGTCACAGATGGTGTTATGAGGGGGCCTCACGTGGTGTAGTAATTCCTTCACAGATGGTGTTATGAGGGTCCTCACTGTGTGAAGGTTAACTTGGGTTCGTTTAACACTGGTTCTATTCCTTTCCTAAATGAAATTGTAACTTCTGGCGAGAACTTGTTGATATTCCGGTGGGGAGGAGGGTTCAGGGGAGGGGGCTGGTATGGGCCAACTTAACAGTTGACCTGGCTGCTCCGAGAGGAGCGCCAGGTACGTCTTGACCCTTCGGTGGTCAAGGATGTGTGTGTGTGTGTGTGTGTGTGTGTGTGTGTGTGTGTGTGTGTGTGTGTGTGTGTGTGTGTGTGTGTGTGTGTGTGTGTTCATGTAAAACCCCCGTCGTGTAATTGATCGTACCTTGTAAACAACAAAGTAATCATCATAACATCACTCAGTAAACTAAACACAACCACGACACCTCCTCTATAAACATTACTGTGTATAATGTTTATATGATTACTTCGTCCGTAAACATTCACGTACATAAGTCAGGTTGATGATTAAAATATCCACATGTCACTCCAATGTTGGGTAAAATGTTTATTAGTGAGAGTAATGTTGATTTAAATATTTATAAGTTACTGTAATGTTGATTTAAATGTTTATAAGCCACTCTAATGTTGATTTAAATGTTTATAAGTTACTGTAATGTTGATTTAAATGTTTGTAAGTTACTCTAATGTTTATTTAAATGTTTATAAGTTACTGTAATGTCGATTTAAATGTTTATAAGTTACTGTAATGTTGATTTAAATGTTTATAAGCCACTCTAATGTTGATTTAAATGTTTATAAGTTACTGTAATGTTGATTTAAATGTTTGTAAGTTACTCTAATGTTGATTTAAATGTTTATAAGTTACTGTAATGTCGATTTAAATGTTTATAAGTTACTGTAATGTTGATCTAAATGTTTATAAGCCACTCTAATGTTGATTTAAATGTTTATAAGTTACTGTAATGTTGATTTAAATGTTGATAAGTTACTGTAATGTTGATTTAAATATTTATAAGCCACTCTAATGTTGATTTAAATGTTCATAAGTTACTGTAATGTTGATTTAAATGTTTATAAGCCACTCTAATGTTGATTTAAATGTTTATAAGCCACTCTAGTGTTGATTTAAATGTTTATAAGCCACTCTAGTGTTGATTTAAATGTTTATAAGCCACTCTAGTGTTGATTTAAATGTTTATAAGCCATTTTAATGTTGATTTAAATGTTTATGAGCCACTCTAGTGTTGATTTAAATGTTTATAAGCCACTCTAGTGTTGATTTAAATGTTTAAAGTTACTGCAATGTGTGATCGCCTCAGTAATCACTTCGGAAATACCACACAGCCGTCATCACCTTACTGTATGTGGTCATGACACACCACTCCTTTTGACACCTTACTGGTGAGTCTGACGCACGGTTATGACACTGGTGTCCTGAAACAACACTGGGGCATACTCGAGGCCCCTGACACAACACTGGGGCATACTCGAGGCCCCTGACACAATACTGGGACGTACCTGGAACCCTGAAGCACATTTATAACAATGGGTAATACTTGGGAGTCGGAGTCCTGAACGGATTTGTCCTGTGAGAGTGTGTGTGTGTGCGCGTGTAAGAGGGATTATTGCCACTGTAGTTGCCAAGTTGTCCTTGTTATTATTTATTTATCATTACACCAAAGTTACAACTCATTACATACGTGTTTGATGGTGATAAATATTCGTCCAGTTAACTTGTTTTGTTGATGTTTTGTATAAGAAATTTTCAGTACGTATTTAGTGTTGTGTTGTTGTAGTGTTGACTTGTAGAACACGACCTTGATAATGCCAGTGGAGAGTTAACGTCCATGATATAAACCGGATACAGACAAAATAACATAGCATTCCTTTAAATATCTACATGTGTTTAATCTTTTTACTTATATAAATTTGTTTAAGTTATATTACTGTTTACTCTATGCGTCTTCTATATAATTTTGCCAGATAGTAATTTATTTTCCCATACATCACCAGTTGTAAAACGGTAAAATAACAGCAATAAATGTGTTTTTATCTTATAAATATTTTTATATATTGAAAATAAATAACAAAATATACATTATATTACAGACTTCGATGTTCATATATAAAAATAGTTTAGGTTAGGTAACATTACACTCTGATCTGATCATGCCAAGCCAGACGTCACAGAGTTATCAATTCTTATTTTTTTTAATCCTTTACCACTTAACGGCTGTTCATGCAGGTCAGGTTCATTATTTTCACTCACATCTTACAGTTTGTCAAGATAATTTTTTGTAGAGTAAATGTAAGTAAAATAATCTATCTCCATTTTATAAACGGGCAATTTACGATTCATCATCTTTTAGGAATTTCCCGATAAGATTCACCTGACGTAACATCGGGCCCGTGTTGTGTGGTCAGTGTTACATAAGAACATAAGAAAATAAGGAGTCTGCAATAGGCCGGTTAACCTGTGCATGGCAGCTCCTGTCGAGAGTTACTACCACTCCCTATCATCCATGAATCTATCCAGCCTCCTTTTGAAACTTTCCAGAGTTCCAGCACTTACTACAAAGTTGCTAAGCTTGTTCCACTCATCCACCACCCTATTTGTGAACCAGTTCCTTCCTATCTCCCTCCTAAACTTAAACTTATCCAACTTAAATCCGCTGCTCCGAGTCCTATCCTGCTCGGATATTATAAGAACTTTATCTATATCCCCTTTATTGATTCCTTTCACCCACTTAAATACTTCTATCATATCTCCCCGCACTCTTCGTCTTTCTAGGTAATGCAAGTTTAGTTTCTTTAACCTATCCTGATATGGAAGGTTTCTAAGTCCCGGAATCATTTTCGTCATTCTTCGTTGCACCGACTCTACTGAATTGATATCCATTCTATAATAAGGGCACCAGAACTGAACCGCATAATCGAGGTGCGGCCTGACTAGCGCAAGATATAGTTGCAATAAGACCTCTGCACTCTTATTACTTACACTTCTAAATATAAAACCCAATACTCTGTTTGCCTTATTTCGAACATTAACGCACTGTTTTCTAGGCCGTAGGTCCGTGCTTACAAGTACCCCTAGGTCTCTTTCACAAGTCGACTTCTCTAGGTTGATGTTGTTAAGGCTGTATGCATTGACAGTATTTGTTCTTCCAATATTAAGTACACTGCACTTGCTGGTGTTGAATTTCATTTGCCATTTTTCAGACCACCCCTGCAGTTTATTTAGATCCTCTTGTAGTGCATTTGCATCCTGTCCTGAATTAATCTGCCGTCCTATTTTGGTGTCATCCGCAAACTTGCTTATGTCACTGCTGATCCCAGTATCTAGATCGTTTATGTAGATTATAAACAAGAGTGGGCCCAGTACTGACCCCTCGGGAACCCCACTGGTTACACTACCCCACTCAGATTTAACACCATCTACGCTGACCCTCTGCGTTCTATCGGTGAGCCATGATTTTATCCAATTTAAAACTTTCCTCTCGATACCATGAGCCTTAACTTTTCTCAAAAGCCTCTGATGCGGAACTCTGTCAAATGCTTTGCTAAAGTCTAAGTAAATAACATCGTAATTTTCGTCATTATCTACTACCTCGAAGACTTTCCTAAAAAACGCCAGCAGATTTGTTAGACAAGATTTTTCCTTTGTAAACCCATGTTGAGAGTCGTAGATTAATTTGCTTTTCTCTAAATGTGATTGGATGTTATCCGCTATAATTGATTCAAGAAATTTCCCCATTACTGACGTCAAACTGATCGGCTGGTAATTTGACGCTGATGCTCTGTCTCCCTTTTTGAATATGGGAACTGCATTTGCCTGTTTCCACAAGTCTGGCACAACTCCCGTGTCTAATGATTTTGTAAATAAATTTACGAGGGGTCCGCTAATCTGTTCCCTACACTCTTTCAAGACTCGAGGGAAAATTTCATCCGGCCCTAGGGATTTTGTCTTCTTTAGTTTATTTATCCTCTTAAGAACATCCTCTTTTCTGAAAGTGATATTCTTTAATTTCTCTTCTTCCTTTCCCCTAAATATCAGTTCCACCTCTGGAATTTCATCGCGAATTTCTTTTGTGAAAACTGGTAAGAAGTAGTTGTTCAATGCTTTGCTTATTTCTTCACTGCCATTTATCACTTCCCCCCTCCCTGACTTTAAAGGCCCAACTTTGTCCTTGACCTTTGTTCTATATACCTGGAAAAATCCCTTGAGTTTCGCCTTGGATTCTCTTGCTATTCTGATTTCATAGTCTCTCTTTGCTTTCCTTACATTTTTCTTAACATTCCTAGATAGTTCATTATACCTATTTCTGAGCTGCTCCTCCCGTACCTTTAATTTCTTATATATTCTTTTCTTTATTCTTATGTCATGTTTAAGTTTTTTGGTCATCCACCTTGGCTCATTCTTATTTGACCTAATTTTTCTGTATGGTATATTTTGTTCTTGTGCTTTATGTAGTATACTCGTGAATATATTATAGTCATGATCAATTGTTGTGCCATCTATGACCTCACCCCTTCCTTCTGGGGACTGACGTGACTGTTCCCAGGTGACCTCACTTAGGTACCTTCTTAACCCCTGATAATCCGAACACCTCTAGCATGTAGTGTGGTATGATGGAAATAATAATAATAATAATAATAATAATAATAATAATAATAATAATAATAATAATAATAATAATATTAATATTCATTTAGTAAAATCATCACAGGTTTACTATTGATTTGACGTGTATATAGACAATGCAGTTATACTGTTAACAGCACATACACCGTGCAGGTATAAAATCTCCAATGTATTGTGTAAAGATGGCTCAGGAATACAACAATAGTAAACAGTAAGGCAATTTGACTAAGGACAGCCGACAAGGTAGTAGTAGTAGTAGTAGTAGTAGCAGTAGTAGTAGTAGTAGTAGTAGCTTATTATGTATTAGGATATTTAATATTAAGGTAAATAAATGGCGGCGAAGGTGTGGCTATTGGGGGAGGCTGGAGGCCACTTTAAAAAAAAAAAAAAAAAAAAAAGTAGTAGTAGCAATAGTAGTAGTAGTTTTATTAGCTGTTATGGTATCTGCTCTACACCTTTCTTCACCACATATAGACAGGTAAAAAGTTCTAAATTTAAACCATACTGTACAGCTCGTAATGCCAACCCGAGACTGTGGACATGTTGCAACTGCCTCTGTCTCCCTGTCGTCAAATAAGGGAGCACTATTTAATCATGTGTCTCAATATATCGTTCTCCGTCACACACACACACACGCACGCACACACACAGACACACACACACACACACACACACACACACACACACACACACACACACACACACACACACCACGATGACAGAGTGGCAAACATGACAGATAATAACAAAATAACACAAAGGAATACCTATGTAATTATATAAATACGAATGAGGGAATAAGAACACACACGATGATAACAAAGACCTAAGAAAGGAATAACAACCCAGGTGATAATAACTCAAACAGAACAGCAAAAACGGTGATGAGAAATGAGGAATTTAAAATGACAGGA